AGATAACATCACCATCATCATGCTGGGGGTTTGGGAAGAAACAGAAAAAAATTGGAAGGGTAGAGAAGTTCTTGCTGGAGGAAAGCACTGAGATACAGACTCTTTCTCTGACTTTACCTCTTCAACTTACGCCTGGCTCAATAAAATTTTTGTCGTATTAAAGTGTCCCAGTTAAGCTACTCTGTGACCCTGGATTCTGCTGCATGCTTACCCGGAGAGGTAAGCCCATTCAAAACAGGGGGTAAATCTCAACAATACAAGCTAAGGCTTCCATCACTGAACTCTTATCCAAACATATCTACTTATTCAGGATTATATGTTCTTAATTTTTTCAACAGGTGTTCCCTTAAACAAACACCAATGCTCTGAAAAATCCCTTAGCACCAAGAAGATTAAACAAATGAAACCAAGTTTTCACTCTTTGTATATATACAATCTTCAGCTATTCATACACTTTTACTTACAGCAGTGAATTAGAGGTTCTGAAAGCAGTAACATGTTCTGTGTTTGAACAAGTAAGATTTAGTGGTAAAAACTGGCAATTGCCCTATAACCTCCAGGGAAGTGTTTCTTACTAAAAAGTCTAAGTTTGAAAACACTGTATGACAACTTGTTCTTGTATTTTTCAAACATAAAGTAACCTCTGAACACAACAGTCCTGTAAGGAAAGTTAAAGTGTTAAGAAGAGAAAGTGAGACACACAGACAGTAAGTCAGCACTCAGAACCTTAAAAACAGAAGTCATATGCATTGACTGCGCTGATACCTGATGAGGGGTTAGAAAGTCTCAGCCTTTCCATTTGCTAGCTGGAGGACTGGTCCGCTGACGGTGGGCAGAGAGCCTCCAGTTCTCCTGGCATGTGTCTGTTTCCTGAATACCAGCGAGGCCTTTGGGATTTCACTTCATACTGGCACTGAGGAACACCTCCACAGGAGAGAGATTCAGAGACTTTCACTGAGCTGCAGCTTCCTCAGGGAGAACCAACAACCCTAACTGGCGACCAAGAACCTCAAAGGTCACTCTGCTAAAAAGGACTCCTGGGGATACCCCCATCTTTAATAAAGTAGGACCACAGGAAAGCTTGCCTTTCTTGCTACATCTAGGATAAAGATTCGTAAAGAAATAATCACCCCTAATGAGAGTAGGGAACTGGGGTTCTGGGGAGTTGCATCTTTTCCCCTATGTTGTGTTGGGAGAAACAAAATGCTGAATAGACTCCAGTTATAAAGTTCAGGGACACCCAAAGTGTCACCAGATCAGAGGAGATGCAGGCAGAAAATTTATATGGTAAACTAATTTTTCTCACACATCTTCCTATGAAATCAATAAGACAGTATGTTTCATCAAAGTTGAGGAACTCTATTTTAAGAAGTGATGATAAGGAAAAATTTTCAGTCATTTTGGAATAGTAACCCCACGGGATAGAAGCCAAAGGCAGCAGATAGATTTTGGATGGTGAGCAACTGTGCTGGCCAGGGATTGGAATTGGGAGCCATGGCATTCCTGAAAAGCAAACATTCCTAGTCCTGGCTCTGACTAAGTTCAGAGCTGTGTGGAAGCCAGAAGCCCCTGTCTCACATGGAGGCAAGGTAGTATCTTGCCACTGATCAGCAGCAGCACAAAACTTCCAAGCAGGTCCAATTCCTGTAGAGTTTTTGCTGGCAAATAAACTCTTTTGAAAAAGTTAAAATAAAGGCTAGCACACCACTCCAGATGGGTTGCTGACTCCTGATGTCCAACATCTTACCAGTTTGATTCCTTCTGGGAATGAAACATGGTAACTTTTTCAAACCGCTGTGCTCTTTGCACGGCCAGAGAAGATTTAAATAGAATTTCAGCAAATCCAAAACTGCATGGATTGATTTTGTACCACAGCTATAATTTCCTTCTCTCTTTTCAAATGACATGATATTTAAAAGGACAGTGTGAAGGTTCAGAAATATTTTCTGTAAATCGGAATAAATTACACAGTGCTAGCAGAAAGGCACATTTTTTGTGGGCTAAATCATTGCAGCTGGGACATTGCAGAATGCTGAATCTACTTTTTTATGCAGAGAGAGAGAAAAATCAGCCATAGAGCTCCTGTTTGCTTTCATTGTAACTAGCCATGCTCTTGCCAATTTACTGCAAAGTGTTCCAATCTCTTGTTAATACCCTCATCCATCACCGGCACCAACAGACTCAGTCATTAGAAATGTTCATTTAGAAGCAGCAATCAAACAAATTAAGACCAAAAATTAATCTGGCATCCGAATCTTCAGTTTCTACCCCAACTTTGAAATGCCAAACATCCCACAGGCCCTTCAGGCTTCAATCAAAGCCTGATGACATCAGTTAGGAGAAGTTCAGAAGTCAGTACTGTTGTGACTTGAGCTCAGAGGACAACTGAGCACCACACAGCTGCTCACTCCCCCCTTCATCCCCAGTGCTAGGAAGGAGAAAATAAAGTAGTTGGCTCAGGAATCAAGCTAAGGACAGGGAGGGATGACTCATTACAGTCATGGGCAAAATACAGACTCATTAGGGGAAGAAGAATATAAAAAAAAAAAAAGAAAAAAGAACATAAAATTAATTCAGAGACTAATAACAACAAGACTTGAGAAGCATTACCACGTCTTAAAAACAGCTGCCCACACCTCTCCCTTCTTCCCCATCTCAGCTTTGTTCCCGATTTCTCTATCTCCTCCCCACCAACGGCACAGGGGAGAGGGAATGGGAGGTGCAGTCAGTGCTGCTGCTTATTCCTCCTCATGGGGAGGTCTCCTTGCATTCTACCCCTGCTCCAGCGTGGCACCCCTCTCACAGGAGACAGTCCTCCACAAACTTTCTCTGACATGATTCCCTCCCATGTGTTACAGTGTTTCGCGAGCTACTCCAGCATGGGACACCCCTGCATGTTTCAGTCCTCACAGTGCCAAACTACAACAGCGGGGGCTGCTTCTCTCCTCAGAGTCCCAGCCTCCTTCAGGTGCAGTCACGTGCTCTGATGTAGGCTCCTCCACAAGCCACAGGTTGGCCTCTGCTCCACCAGTGACCTCCATGGGTGGTGGCCCTGCTGCCTCATCACGGCTTGCAGGGGGGCTCTCTATGGTCCAGTACACCTACTCCCCTTCCTCCTCCTTTCTTCCACTGAACTCAGTGTTCGCATCGGTATCTTCCTCACAACTCCAACTCCTCCCAGGTTCCCCTTCTTAAATATGTTATCTCAGAGATGCAGCCACCGTCACTAATTAGCTTGGCCTTGGCACAGAGACAGGTCCGACTTGGAGCCAGGGGAGCTCCGAGAAGCTCCTCACAGAGTACCGACCCTGTAGCCCCTTTCCCCGCTACCAAAAACCCCGCCACTCACACAAACCCAGCACAAGACAAATCTCAAAATATTTCTAAAGACACGCCTCCTTCTCAGCACCCACGTATGGGATAGATACACTTCAGTCCACTAACAGAGTTCAGCCAGATTTAATACTTTCTTGGTATTTTGGCAATGGTGTTCTGTAGCTCCAAAAGAGCTGTTACGGCTTTAACAGTCAGCTTATTTCCCCACAGTATGAGGGGAAAGAAGAAAGAGAAACACCCTCTCAATAAAAGATTGATTACCTTCTGTTTCTAAGAACCCATGTTCTCTGAGGATAATCCTTGACCACGATTTACTGGTCAAAACAGATTCTACCTAATCCAAATCTGGAAGAGTCTATATAGTGCAGGGGCTTTTTTCTCCTTGTTGGGCTTTGATATTGGTTTTTACTTAAATTAAGAGCATTAAAGAACTTTAATCTAGAGGAACATTTTAAACTTTATCTTTTGTCAGAACTTGCTTACTGAAGAGCTGCTTAGAGCAAGGAAAACCTCATATGTCAAATATGCCTTACCTGCCTCATGGCTTGGCATAGTGATTTTCAATAAGAAAGCATTGCTTCACATGCTTTTGACTTCAAAACCTGTGAAAATTCAGTTTTGTTTTAAAATTTTGGGATTAACATTTCTGGAGTACACAATGAATGCATGCAAAACAAGGTGAAAGTGAGTTTTACTCCAGTGCTTGATTAGATAGAACTCAGTTTTCACATGTCACTGGAATAGAAAAACCGAAACTGAAGTCTGTACTGGAAACCACCAGTTCATGGTGCCTTAGAAGTGATGCAGCTATCACATACATGCTAGTCACTCACTAGATTAAAAAACCCTCTAGACTAAGGTAGCGCAGGCAACAGAACTTGGACAAACATCACTGATCTGTCGTTGTAGATATGATCCCTCCTTCTGTCTGACTACCAAATTTTTTTTTTTTTTTTTTTTTTTTTTTTTCCCAGCTGATCATGTTTCCACCCCGGTTTGTCTTTTCCAGACCACACCTCTCCCACCGCCCACCCACGTCACTGTCACTGGCAGCTGTGCCCTGTGTTTCTTTACCACGCAGAGCCCGTACCTCAGCCGCTTCCCGGCGAGCCTGTGCTGCGCCCTCACCACGGATGGAGAGAGCTGGAGCAGGGCTCTGCCACCTCAGGGGCTTCCCACAGCTTTAACTGCGCCAGATCCCTTCAGGAGCCCCTGGGGCAGCAGCCCTCAGCCTTCCCACAGCGACCCTGCACGCAGCTTAGCAGGGACCTGCCCCACAGAGGCAGTTTCAAGGTGTAACTCCTCGCGGGAAGCCCAACCAACTACAAGAGGCCCCTCTCCAGGTGTGCAAAAAGGTTGCGGTTTGATTAAAAACCCTGGACCTCCTTGCCTCAGGCACACGCGAGCTCCGCCCTGGGGAGGCAGAGGCGGGCGCGGAGACACCTCCCCGCCTCAGCCCCCGCCCTCCGCCTGAGGGCAGCGCCGCCACGCGCCGCTGCGAGACTGCAGCCCCCAGCAGGCTGCGCGCGGCCTCTCCCCATTGGCCGGCGCCGGCAGGAAGCGAGCGGCGGGGGAAGGGGGCGGTGCGCGTGGCCGGAGGGGCGGTGCAGGTCTGTGCCTGGGGCCGGGGGGCGGCCCGGGATGGGGGGGGGGTCCCCGGGGACGCGGACCGTAACCCGCAGCCCGGCCCCTTCTCTCAGGGGCTGGGATCACGGAGCCGGGACCGGCTGGCTGTGGTGTGGTGTAGTGGGGGGGAGGGGGGCGGCCGGGGGCCGTGGTGGGGCTGAAGGGAGCGCGGTGCAGGCGGGGTGGGGGGGGCTCGGTGTGCACGGTCGGCCGGCGTGGGTCAGGGGGTGCTGAGGCCTGCGGGTAGACAAATGTGTGCGACTTGAATCCTACTGCAAAGGAAAAGCCGCAGCATAGCGCTGGGTCGGGCCAGGCCGGGCCTGGCAGTCAGCTGGTGAATTAACTCCTATATGGGAACAGTGTACAGGCCCCGTGTCTCTGTATAGTGCATAGAAGCATGTGTAGGTTCCTTTCTCCTCTGAGACACAATACTTTCCCTCAGGTGATGTCAGGAGTACTTTTAAGTACTTTGGAGATTCGTTTGCTGACAAGGCATTTGTATTATGCTTACTGAGGTTTATTTCTTTCTCATTTCTAAAAACCTAACCCCTCCAAGGAGTCCAACATGGAAGAGTTTAAAGATGCAAGTTCACCTGAAGAGTTACTTGATCAATTAAAGCTTTCTGATCAGAAGTCTTCAGAGACTGGCCCCAAAGACACACAGAATCCCCAAAACACTGAAAGTGGATATACACCATCCTCAGCCAAAGATCCCACAACAGTTGATGAGTGTTTCCATGACTGTCATGACTCCTTTGAGGCAAAAGAACCTGTACTGGATGATGAAGGGAATTTACAGAATGATGAGAATAGCTCAAGGAAGCAGACAGAACTAGATGAAGAATACTTACTAGAACTAGAAAAAGATATGCCAGAGGATGAAAAACAGGTAATCCAAAGTACCGATGTTGAATATAAAAAGACATGTTTTCATTGTCACGCTTCTGAATACTCTGACTGGCACAAAAATGTACCTTTAAAACTATTTATGTGTCTAGTTCCACTGTTCTTAATTTCTTCTTTTAGGTAACAAATATTTTTGTTAGCTTTCCTTGCTGTTCTTAATCATCAAATTCCGTTGCAGATTTTTGTCTACTTTCACCAGTGTGTAAGGTTACTGTGACTCAGAGAGATTATAAGAAACAAATATCTCCCTGTTTCACGTTATTTAGTTTGTGTGCGTTCATTGTTTTGACCTGATTAGCTGCAAGGTGCTTTTCCACAACTCAGAGCGGGTGTCAGGATAGTTTTCATATCTGAAAGGCTAGTTTATGTAATACAACTAGTTGGGATTAAATTTGAAAGTATCCCTATAGATTACTTAAACTTTAAACAAAACACATTAGATGTATGGTTTTGTTTACTTTCAGTGCATTCCATTGAACAAAATGTTTGGGTAATAAACTGGATAATATTGTGGAGAGTCATGAAATAGGTCTTAAGGGAAGTCCCAATAGCCTCTGTGATGGTGTTTACTCCTGTAATCTGTGTGAACCAGTTTCTTTGACCCTCAATTGGCATTGTCACTTGACAGCAGTTAGTTTTCAAGGTTGACTTCATTATGGTCATCAAGGAGTTTTCTAACTTTGAGAAAATCACTTTCAGAATTAGACTTGAGTAATGCAGTGAATTTCTGCTGGTAATTATGTTCTCATAGCAAATGGTGAGAGGCTTTCTTCTAATTTATGGATTTTTTAATTTTTTCCTAATTTTTTTCAACTTTGGTTTGCAAATGGTGTGGGAGTAAAAATAGTAAACTAAATATTAAACTAAAATCTGTGTCCCAACACAATTCCTGTGATTTTTATATTTTTGGAACGCTCTGTTTTTGACAAGTTATATAGCTTGGCCTCTTGAACGGATCATGTTTCAAATAACTGATCCAACCTCTTAAAATCCGATTGAATTATCCAAACAAGCAGTTACTTATACTGCAAATTGGAATAGTGACTAAAAGTAGTACTATATTATTTGGCAGTTGGGGAAAAGATGGAATTCTGGTGTGAAGGGAAGACCAGCAAACTTTATTTTAAAGTCCTGTAGGCATAACTTAGATCTTACTTTAATACAGGAAATGGAGTCCTTACTGGAAGACTAGCTGCACAGTTTGGATCATAGGTAACACTGAATAACTGATTATGATGAGGGAAGGAGAGAGCAGAGTGAGGAATGGCAGCTGATTGAATATAGGCAGCATTTTAGGAGAGTCTTCATAGGGGAAGACAGTGTATTGTATAGCTGTATGGTATTTATTCTGGGAACTCCCAAATGACCAGGAGCAGTAGAAGAAATTACTACTGTAATGGACAAGTACTAGTAATGTGAGGCATTTGATGAAGAAGAAATGAAGAGTTATATGAAATTCACTTTTTTAGAAGAGCTTAAAATATTATGTTGCGATGAATTTGTAGGGGCTTATTACTCTTGTATAGGCAAACTGATCTTTTCTAGTTCAACTGGCTTGGTAAAGCTGGATCATGCTTTCTTAACTGTTGAGGAGCCCTGTCTGTGTTGTATAAGCAAATAAATGCTGGCTATACCTTGCCCAAAAAAGTTGGAAAGAGAGGGCAGATTGGCAGTAACTTGACAACACCATGGTCTTACTATCAGCTACTGTAAATAGAGAATGAGGGGCAGAAATATGCAGAGCTAAGATGCCAGAGGCAACCAGAAGTTTGAATTGCTTGTTACGAGCCAGTATGCAGAAATTTAATCAAGTGGCTCAAATAGTTCCCTTTCTGGTAGGGTAGGATTGCTGACTGAAATACATCAGTGAAGGCAAAAAGGTAGTTTTTCATCTGTAGTACAGATCGTTGTGTTAATGTAGAAGTTCCTTGAGGTGGAAAAGCAATATGAGACTAGTGGGGAAGTGGATCATGGAATATAATCTCCTTCAAGTAGGAATGAAACTAAATGTAACACTTGTCTGCTGCTTGACCTTGTGGAAATCACTTCTTATCTCTTTCTCTCTGTGTCTGTCAATTTTAACATCTGTAAAATGGGCATGACGATGCTTGCCAGTTGTAATACTTTAAGATCTAATAATGAATAATGGGTGTGTATGGGAAATCTCAAGAGGTTATTTGGTGCATCCTTTTCCTCAGAAGGGCTTCTGGAGGTCATCTAATCTAATCCTCTGCTCAAAGATAAATCAAATCGATCACCCTGCCCAGAGCCATGCAGAGATCTCAGAGCCTGGAGACTGCACAGCCTCTCTGAGCCCCTTTTCTAGTGTTTAACTACCATCATGGTGGGAACTTTTTTCCTTGTATTTAATTAGTATTTCTTTTGTTGCAACGTGTGACCATTGGCCCTTCTTTTTCTGCATGCATCGAGGAAGAGTCTGTCTACATTTTCTCTAGCAATGAAGTTTCCCCTGAGCCCCCTCTTCCTAAGGCTGAACAAACTAAGTTCTTGTAGGCTGTCTGCTTAGGTCATAGTCTCCAGTGTCCTGACCATCTTGGGGGCCCTCTGCTGCAGTCCCTCTGGAAAGTTGATGTCTTTTTTTTTTTTTTTTTTTAGTGGAGGGGACATGGTGTAGGGGGGCATGCACACACCAAAACTGGACATTCTCCAAATGCATTGTCAGATGCTGAGCAGAAGATAATAGTCATGTTCATTGACCTACTCACTATGCAGAAAAACCATCACATTGCCCTTGTGTCTTTCCCAGTGTAGACTAAACAGTCCCTTTTTTTCTGCTTGTATTTATTGCTTGTACAACAAGGAACATTGTCATATTAGTCACAATGAGGCTTCTGCAGCAGCCTGTAACTTGAAAGCCGGTTCAGAGTTTCATAGACAAAATGCTAAAAACCAGGGGGAAACTGCAGCAGAATTAAACTCTAGAAAGAGCAGGGGGTCTGGAAACTGGGTGTCTTGGTTTTCATGCTGCTCTTGTTTCTGTTGTATTCTTAGGTAGTCATTTAATTTTGTACATCAATTTTTGCCTCTGTAAAATAAGTAAAAGAGTCATGAATGTTGAGTACTTGCATTCAGCTTTGTTCAATTCCATTGGAAGGTGCTATGGGAGTACAAAATAATAACTGTTTAAAGCTGGGAAGATTTCCTTTGAGAAAATACCACTGGAGAGTGTTGAGACAGCTGCAGTTCTCATCTTTCCGAAGGTTTATTTCCAGTGGTATTGAGCAATTGTGCCCTTCAGCTTGGTTTATGATTATACCTAACGAAATGGAGGGATTCCATCTCTTCATATCACCGTAACTATTAGATTGTCAATACTTACTTTGTGAACTTTGTTTATGTTCCAGAGAGAGCTTTCTGAGTGACTTATATAAGCCATCTTTAAAATATAGCTATTTTTTTCCTTTAACAAAATATTGTTGGAATCTCTTATAAGCAGGGCTTGAGAAATCCAGAAACTAGAGAGGAATTAGAAGCTGACAGCAGTTGTAATAACTACTGAAGTAGCCCATTTGCATGATCTTACTCTTCATCACCTTACATTCTCTTTGTAGTAAAACCATGGGGGTGGCTTATTCCTGAATTTCCACTCCAACTTTCCTCATAGTACTTGGAATTGATGGCTACAAATTTTATTTTATTTTTGTTTTTCCAAGTGAAACATTATATATATTTTGACTATGAAGATAATATGTTAAAAGATACAGCTTTTGAGAAAAAATACTGCAGTTAGGTCTGAAAACAGATGCCATACATTAATTTATTCAGAGTTTTTCAAACATTTTAAACCCCCTCCAGTTACTTAAAAGGTCCTTTTTGAGAAGGGCAACATGATTTTTTTTTTTTTCCCACAGCTGGAGAAAATGAGACAGAAATATTCAGAACTTGTTTATTTGACTGTTTAGGTTGTGACCAGACACTCAGCAGCAGTGCTGTGTTTGCTACTTAGGCAATCCTTGATCAGTTATTCTCAGCCCCCTGCTGCCTCCTTCATTGTGCTAGCACACCTCTCTGTGTGAATGTGCAGTGAACCACTTACAGGGAATGATTTAGATGAAAAATAATGCTGTATTTTTAGATCAAGGGCAGTGCTGGTAAAAGTAGAAATCAAATGGCAGCCTTATGATGGTATACAGGGATAGATGGACTTTCTTCAATTAGAATACTTGCTTAAATAAGAAAATCTTCCTATGGACTGTTGGTTGCAGCACCATCCATAAACTATGTACTCAAGTCATAAGGAGAGCTGGATGTTTGTCCTGCTCAAGTCAAATTTACGGAGCTACACCTTAATAGTACTTTTCTTTTTTTAACTAAGTCCGTTGTTACGTTTTAGCAGCTTTAATAAACGAGTTCTTTTGAGCAATATTCTCCAATATCTAAGCTGTAGAAAAGCAAGTCTCTAATTTATTGTGGAGATACAAAGGCAGATTCTAGTCCTCACTCTGTGTATTTATGCATATCCTATGTGCAAGTTTGCATGGTAGCAGCTCTGAGTTGAAATTCTCACCCATGCAGAAGCTGCTGCAGAGATCAAAGTGAAGGAGCAAGTGGTTGTGTGTTTTCTCTCAATTATATTTCAGGAGTCCCGTACACTGAGATTGCTAATTTTAAGTAACAAGAATTACTTCCAGGGAAATAGTACTGAAACCATAAGAAGTCTTTTCTGCAAAAATGAAGCAAAATAAGAACTTGAAGGGATATTAAGACACAAACCTGCAAGAAGTATTCTTAAAACCAGGTGTAGAGTAGAGCCTGGTTACTTGCCTGGACTTGCAACTATGAGTTTTTTAAGAATTAAGCAGCCTGAAAAAAAATTCACTTTTATAAGACTTTGTTGTTGTTTTGTTCAAAAGCATGCTGATTGCTGCCTCAGCAGAGGCACTGAACAGTAAATTGCTTTTGATGCATTACAAACAGATTTTTCTGGTTAGTTGTCATTGACAGTGATGGCTTTGACGTTGG